GGGCAGCATCACCTGCTCAGGTGGTTTTGTGGGGAAGAGCCTCCGGTGAGACACTCGTGGTGAACAGTTTCCTCAATCATCCTAGAGGGCCAATTTGTTGGTTTGAAAACTTGGAAGGTTCCCAGGTGAAATCTGAAACTGGCCTCCACACACAGAACGCAAGGAAGACTGAAGAGAGGCAGACACTACAGAGCGGCAGGCGACAGGTTTAACAAACAAGGGAACTTACATAGGAGGCTTGTCTTGGGCACCACAGGAGGAAAAGGTCTCTGCACTCGCCCGCCAGAGTCTTGAAATTTATACAGAGGACTTAACTGTGTTCAGTCACATACACTGTCCAGATGGTCTCAACAACACATTGCTCTCTCAAGGCTGTGTCCTTGAAAACTGTTCTGACTGTGGGAACCGTGAGCAGAACGAACATTCTAAGGAAAGGGGATGGGGTCAGCATCTTCCTATTGCCTGGGTCCAGTTCGAGGGACAACCAGCAGTCACATCTTCTCAGTGATCTCCAATGTGATTTCCAGCAAGTTCCTCAGCCCTGCCCTGGGGACAGTGGCCACTCCTTATATCTGCTATTCCTATATTCTTTAGCTAGAGTTCCCTTAATTTGTATTAGTCACTCCCTCATTACTCAAATTCTCTGTTATAGCTGGCAACTCTTTATACTAATTGTTCCGTGTTCAAATTACTGTGATTTCTCTCTGCTGAATGGACAATTATCAATATCATTAGAGGCTCCTTATCAGTTGTTTTTTTATGTCTCTACATTACAAATAGATTGTGCTGATTTATTTGCAAATCAGAGCACTGCGAATAGCAGGTTTTCATGTCTTGCACTCTCATGAGATTCTTGTCACTCATATCAGGCTCTTCCCAACTTTTTTACTTTAATTAGATAAAAGAGGGGACTGCCAGCAGTCCATTGACTAGGAAGCTTTAGACAGAGATCTGACAGAGATATTTGGACAAAGAGGCACCTGGAACTATTCTTGGCTTCTTCTATGTGGTTCAGGTACAGGCTTAGAGCCCTCTGTTTTATACATCTTGACTTCATCTGACAGATTTCCAGTCAAAGAGATCAATGTCTCTGTTGAATTTTGGGGGGATCAATTTTTTAAACCAGAGATTTTATATTTAGCCAAGTTATTCTACATATATATATAGGTAAGAAAAAATTATAGTAACATATGCAATTATGCATGTAACCTTATGGAAAAAAAGAAAGAAAATTTTGAAATCTACACCAGTACCAAAAAAAATTTAAGAATGGAGAAGATAAGGAATACAAGGATTGGTAGTGAGCATTAGTAGGCATCATTTAAATACAGAACAAAGTTTAAATTATTGTAGTATATGTGTTCATTTGTTCCAGACAAGTTTATTGAGTGCCTGTGATGTCAATTCTTCCAAACCAATTCATAAATTTAATGAAGTTCCAGTCAAAATGCCAATAGAATTCTTTGAAGTTTAGTCTAAATAGATCCATTACAGCATATGTGAAAAAATAGTTTAAAATTTTTGAAAAGTAAAATTGATAAATGAGAAATTATTCTACAAGTTAGCAGAATTTATTATGATAGTACAATTAAGACCATGTGGTAGTAGCACAAGAATAGACACATACGTCAGTGGAACTATGTGGAGAGCCTGGAAACAGTCTAGATATATAGAACAACACAAAAAGTATTGACCCTAACTTTTGGTCTGGGAAGAACTGTGATCCATCCAGGGCAGGTAGGGAGGGTATAACGTGAAATAATGACCATACTATATACAAAACTAAACTCAGATGACCACAGAAGTGACAACAACTAAAAAATCCTGCAAACATCCTAGAAGAAAACATAGGAAATTATTTTTATAGAATTCTGGTGAGGAAAACATTCAGAAGTGAGACCCAAAGGAGGAAGTAATAAAATAAAAGATACTAGCACACACAAAGTTACAACTGCTATATGACAACTGATATGTAACAAAGTTAAAATAAGATAAAGATTGGGACATCTGCCATGTATATGAGGGAACTATATACGTACATAGAATACAAGTAGCCTATACATCAATACAGAAAGATAATACATAAAATCATGTGCAACACATACTAAAAATTAAATTACGCTCAAAGAAATACAAATGGCTAATAAATGTATAGAAAAGGTTTTCAAAGTCACTAGGAGAATGCAAATTAAAACAAGGTGCCATTTTTCACCAATCAATTGGCTAAAAGCTGTAAAGGATTGATAGTAGCCAGTGTTAGCAAGAATTAAAGGCAATTTTGGAGGTGAATTTGCCAGCAAGTATCAAAGCATAAATTTTACATACACTTCAACAACATAATTCCACTACAAGGAATCTATTTAGCTCAAAAATGTGCACAAACGTACAAGATATTTATACCGTGATGTTCATTGCTGCATTAAATATATTAGCTAAAACTGGAAGACTACACTTAATTGCACGGCAATGGGGAAACAGTTAAGTAAGTTATGATGATATGCTGGTCTTTGGTTGACTTTTTCCTTGGATCCATTTCTCCCTTTCTGCTTTCTTGCTGTGTATCTCCAGGGCTGCCGCCTGCAGACTCCTTTTCCTAGGATCCTCTTTCAACTGGCTTTTGACTCAGTTAGGCCAATGGGACATATTCCTGGTAGATTGGTTGGCAGGAAGAAGGAGGAAGCCATAATACTTTTTTCCACTTCCTCTCTGCCTTAGGTATTGTTTCTGGGGTCTTCTCCATGGCCCACACTCCTGCTAGACTGCCCATTGTGGTTCTAACTTTCCCTGAGTGACCCAGCCCCTGAGTCTATTAACACAACCGTCTTCTTTTGTCCCTATAGCTTAAGGATACTAATGGCTTCCTATTGATACTAATCTTTAGATTACCTCTTTGTTTCCACTTGGCTTTTTACCTTTTCCATCATTTCTATAATTAATTCTTTGTATTAAAGTTCCACTACTTTAAACACTTAAAATGATTTTGCCTTCCCGCTTAGAATACACACACACACACACATACACACACACACCTTTGTAGTCAGTAAAAAACCCTATATAACCGCATACTGAGTGAAAAAATGTTCCTGATAAGTTGTTGACTCCAAGAAGGAGAGTTGTTGTATCTATGTTTAATATGGTCCATTACGAAAAATCAAAGAATGTGTGTATTTGTGAATGCATTTACATGATGATAATAATAATGATAACAACAGTTAGTCTTTGTAGGAAAAAACAAGTACAGAAAAATATCCACTAGGAGAAGGTGTTCTTGAAAAGTTGAAGGGAGAACATGTGTGGGTTAAGGGGAATGGGTGTTGTTGCTTTTTACTTTATTTACTACCATGTTGCTTGCATTTTTTTCCTCCCTTAATGCATTACATTTGTAATTTCAAAAATCTTTAAAATCAGGAAATAAAACCAATTCTGCCTAATTATGCCCAATATGCCTCATTATGTCTAATATGCCTAATTGTGCCTAAAATGATCATTTTTATTAAATATGTATGTCCATGTGTATTCATTTGTAATGGGAACTGTCTGAAAGTACAGTTAGTTCTGCAATAATCTGAAAGCTCAAATTTGTTCCAACAAGATCACTATGTTAGAGAATAACTTGAGCATGCCATCTATGCTTGTGTGATTTTGTCAGTGAGAGACACCAGGTGAATGTTAAAGGTTGCACCCAACTGATCTGAAAGGTTTAGGAATATAGAAAATGCACACACATGCACAAGCCTTAAACATCTACAGCATCCTCAGTCCACATATGTGTTACGAGCCACGGTAGCCATTATCTGGTCGACAACTTTCTGTCTGATTTCAGATAAGCATCCTTTCAATGCTCAACAATAACTCACAATCTGCAACTCTTCCAACAGCAACTTCCACAAAAAAAGTCAGGTATTTTTCAGGATGCAGCACCGTATTTATTGTAGAATTTAAACGTTTCTTCACCGTGTAACATGTATGTGTAAACGTGTGCCACCATTTTTATTAGGTTCCGATGTTTCCCCCCTTATGGATTACTGTGAGTTTTTTGAGGATTGCATCCTAATCTTATTTTTCTCATAAGCCCTGTGGATTTTATTGCACAATTTTGCATAGTATGGTGATTTTTAGCAATACGTACGTCATATGATCGTGGAACTGACTATACATATACGAAAATGTAAACAGTGTCTCTGGGTGGTATTTTATTTTTGCTTATTTTTAGTTTCTGTTTTTTTTCCTAAAACAATCATGTATTAATAATTTAATTAAATCTTCATAAGCATTTTTAAAAGATGAGGTGGTCGCCAAAGGATGACCACAGCTGTTCTAGGTGAAGGCCTGAGGCTATTTGGGAAATCTTCACTCGGTCGCTGGTGATACGATCAGGCGCGTGCCCTCGAGAGTACCTAAAAGGCACAGTTTAAGCTCCTCCTGGAAAACAGAGATAAGTGTCACGGCCACATCTTGTCTGCTTTTTCAATCAGTCCCCATAAACGCGAAAAAGAATGCAGATGTGACTAGTCAAGTTTCCATTAAACAATGTAGATCATGTAATAATTCTAATGCCCCTAAAATGGTTTGCATGCAGAAGTTAACATGATCCATAAAAATAAAGATAATAACCAGTACAATATATTCAATGCTTATTGACTTTCAAGCATAGTCTCATTAAGTGAGATTACAGCAACCTGTCCTTTCAGGAAATACAGCTCTGTGGGCAAACTACAAACTTGAACACAATGTGAATTTCAGAAGGAAGAGAAAAAAATGAATTCTCCTCATGTGATTCAAGTCTTGAATTTCCACCTACTTTTTCCAGAGTGAACCTTCACCTGTTATCACTTTTCCCCCTTTCCAAGGAAGTATCATGTGGTTTTTTGTTTGTTTTTTTTTCCCAATAGTAAGTTACTTAACCTACAGCCAAACTCCACCCCTTATCTTTAATTGGGCAAGATTCCCCCTCTCTCCCTCCCTGACGTGCCCCATTTCTGGGACAGCACCCACTGAACTCTGAACTCGTTCTTGATCTCTGTGTTTTCCTGTCTCTATACAGAATCTGCTGTTGGCTGTGCTGTCTACAGAGCTTTGTTTCTAGCTGTTCTCTGACAAAGGGCTTGTTCTGTGCAGCACATCTCGTCCTCTTTGTTCAGCCTCTGGCTTCAAACACTGAATCACAAATATTCTCCAGCTGGGAATCAGACAAGGGCAGAGATGAAGAACCCAGAAGCCCAACAGGATGTTTCAGTTTCCCAGGGAATTCGCATCATGTTTTACATGATGAAGCCCAATGAAACGTCATTCCGAACCCTAGAAGAGGTGCCTGATTATGTAAAAAAGGTGAGACTATCTGGGAAGAGGCTGCTGTTGCTCTTTTCTTAGTAAGAAGTAAGTTAAATGCATCCTGGGATTTTGCTCACTTTCATTCTTCAAATTATTAAATTTCTAATAAAAAATAACTGTGTTTCATAAAGGCATGCAGCAAAAGTAGGATTTCTACTTGAATTGAATTTCTGTACAATATCCATAACCATCTTCTCCTATTAACCACCTCTCCCCTGCTATGTCACTGCAGAATATGATAAAACTTTAAAAGGTTTTCCTGGACACAGTGGCATTCCAAATTGATCCGTTAGAAGCCCAAAGTCCAATGGTCATAAGACATCAGTAAACTTTGTACCGATTTTGTTTTTAAAGGGTAAACTTGTCTACCACCTCCCAGGAAACTTTCCTCTTTAATTTGGTAGAGTAGTTCTGCAGAATGGATGCACAGCTGACTGAGTCCAACTCTGACTTCCTAAGTTTGAACTTGAACCAAGTTTTCTTTGAAACACTGAAGTGTTCAGAGGCACTTTTCACTTTTGGTTCCTGGCTATGATTGGAAGTGGAAATATCCAGAATTAGAACTTGAATACTGAAGTTCCCCACCCTGTCAAAGTTGTTCCTACAACACTTACTAGTTCAGACCAGAAACAGAAAAAAAAATGACATCAGAGAATATGTTCTTGGGAGTTCAGTTTAGAAAACTTCAGAACTCATGAAATGAGTGATGAGTGAAACTCATAACTTTTTCAGAATTACATATTACTTCTTTCTGATATTTTTAGGAAAAAAATGTACTCACATATTCATAAATCATTATTTTTTATACTAGAACACCAAATGTAGTCCAATATTTATCATCAATAGTGGAGCCTAAAAAACCTATTCAATAAAACAAAAATAAAGCTGAATGAATAAAACTTGAATGATGTTTAAAACAAATGCTTAAAACAACCTTATTCTCTGAAATACTCAGAAGAAAATTCTTTGTTCCTACAGTTTCAATTTTGTCTATCCTGTAATTCTAATCTGAAAACTAGAATCACGTGCATCCTTAAGGAAAGCCTTTTAAAGTGGGTCTGGCTTAGAACTGTAGATAATAGACTTCTGATTATTGCACTTATTTTAAAAATGTATTTTTTAGCGCTCACTTGAAACATGTCCCCTGACCTCATTTTTTTCTTGGCAGAATTATCATGGTTACATCTATGGTTATATTTTATTCCATATCGGATGATAGATTTTGAGCACCTGTTTAGTGTATGTCCAAAATAATCAGATTTCTTTGCCTGTTGGGAGGAAATGATCCTCTCAGATAGGTGTATACCTGCCCCTGTTATGTCACTCTGGGCCTCCAACTTCTGGAAGGACTAATCAGGAAATGTGGAAGAATTTCATACCGAGCTCAATAGCATCTCTTTTCTGCAATTTCCTTTCCAGGCAACTCCATTTTTCATTTCCTTGATGCTGCTTGAACTGGCTGTCAGCTGGATTCGAAAAGGGAAGCCACCAGGTCGTGTGGATGATTCGTTAACATCAATGTCAGCCGGTATTCTGTCTAGGCTTCCACGGTGAGCTAGTTGGTTAGCAACACTGAGTGAATAAACTGAAATTCTCCAGATAAGATGGAAAAGGAACGTGTTATATGGAGAATTACTCTATTTTCACATATATGCCCAAAGATTTTAATTACTGTCATTATTTAAATTTTTGATATTTTGGTCATCATGGGTCTTTTTTGTATTCATTTTTAAAAATGTTGCTCTAAATATTATCTTGATTCCTGAGTTTATTGGTGCCCCCTTAAATTTTGTGCCCAAGAGAAGTGCTTCACTTGCCTTACCTTACTCCCAGCCCTGAGTTATGGTATAGTTATCTATTAGAAAATTAATTTTGCCTCAGGAAAATTAACACACTATAGCAATCTAGGGTGCAGACCCTCCACAGTAAGAGTCACACAAAACTCTGCATTACTACAATGGTCTCCTAAGTGGTGTCCCTGTCTCTAGTCCCACCTCCTTTGCAGCCAAACATTTCCATAATGTGAACCTGGTGGAAACTCTTTACAGGTTCCGTATTGCCTGAGGCTAACATCTGAATTCCTTTCCTGATTTATGGAGGCCTTTGTCTACCAAGCCTTGCTTCTGGTCCCTTCATTCTCCTTCCCCCTTTGCAATATTTGTTCATTCCATACTCTACTACTTGCCATTGCCCAGATGTCACATGTGTTTCCCTCCCCTGGAAATTCATCCATGTGGTCAACTCCAATTCATTTCCTAAGTCTAAATATAGACTCTGTTGAAGAACCACACTTTTCAGCAAATCTTATTTGTTCTTCAACTCTACTCTAGACACCACTTCACTATGGTCCCATGGAATCTTTGCTTACCTCAGATATAGAATTATCACATGGCATTATACTCACCTGTTTTCCTCCCAGCTCTTCCTCCTAGCTTGCATACTTGAGGGCAATGGGTGTTCTTTTTTCATGGTTTTAACTCCTATGCCTAGAATGATGTCTGGTACATGGTAGATTTTTTTTTTTAACATTTAATAATCTTATGGTGTTATGTTGTTAATAAAATTGGATGATGAAGGGACAAAAGAACACTAAACAATAAGTGACCTACTACTTGTTAGAAATGGTAAATTATAATGTTTGTAGAGGAGAAACGAATGGAAGGCTCTTCAGTACATGAGGATTTACCACAGAGGCAGAGGATGAGAGAGGATACCCTTAGAAGTCTGTGCTTTGTGTTGTTGATGAATGTTCTCATTCCTGCTTCCTACCCATCGCTTTTTTTTTTTTTTTTTTACTGTTTTAAGAATTTTACTTCTGACAAGTGCTCATTGCTTTGGAATGTTTCTATGAACTTCCCAGTGGGAAACCAAGGTGGACTTTAAAAACATGAAAACTTAAAGATATATGAGAAAATGTAACATAATTTCATATAATTGCATAAAATTATTTACATGGGAAGTAAACATAAAAGTAAAATTTATTTCATAAATGTTACTATGAAAAAGATAGATTTGTAGATATAAAATAGTAATAGTAATAATCAAAATAATCATAATAATAACGACTCTCTGAAAAACTACTCTTATGATTGCACATTGTTGTCAGAATGAGAGGATAATATCTCAAGTTATCTGCAGTTAATTCCCAGAACACCCTAAGTAAGAATTTACAATTATACATAATTTCCTCTGTCTCGTGTCTCCCTTGAACAGAATTGAATATGAAATACATTTAACATACTCAAGGGATATGTAGATTTGGTTATTGAAAAATACCCAGTTGGTTACTGTAATTGCTTCTGAGAAAGTTAAGTGTATAAGTTTATGGAAATTGGACGATTGATGAACTGTAAAAATAACTTGATAACTGAGAAGTGCCCTGCAGGTGCAACTATGGATCACATATTCTGCTGAGTTGGAATGAACTTATTAAAAACTCTGGGAGACATCAAATTGAATGAATGCTTCAGCATTTCTTTTACTATTTCACGTTGCACTTTGGCCACAAGTTAAAATTAGGTTGTTCTCTTATCATAACATTGTAACTTCAGAAATATTAACTGCATCCTCAGTCCTACATTTCTGCTCAGCAGTGTGATAAAAAATGGTATGGAATTATAACAGGATATGCAAGAATCAAGCATACATCTTTTGCTAGAAACAAACCCCCAAAGCATAAGGGAGATGGGTGGGGAGAGAGGAAGAGAGGAGGAGAGAAGGAAAGAAACAACCCAAAACAAACCAGTCCTTTAGGGAGAGGACGGGCAGTGCTTTTCCCTCACATCCCACACTCCTTAAGCTAACACAAACTCTTAACTGAGGTGCCCTTCAGGAGAAAGGTCAAAGGTTGTGAACTTGAATTTGGAGCCTATATTTCTGCAGTTGTATTTTGAATGAGAACGGCAAATTGCTTGTTTTTTGTTCTTGTAGATGTGAACTGCAATTCTAAATTATGAAATGTGCATAATTTTGTAAGTTCTGCAAAGGCTTTTATCTTTCGTAGACTTTTATCTAAAAGATCTCAGCAAAGCAAATGATCTGAAAATAAAATTTAAAAATATCTTTATCTTGTTGCTATTAAAAAAGAAACAAACCCAGATATAAGCAGAGAAGGAAAGCTGACCCTCAGGGTCCACTCTACTCAATCCCCTTTCAGCAAAAGATGAGAGGGGAATTTAACAGGAACTTAAAACAATATTTCAGTTGAAGCCACAGCATCAAGGGGAATCTTTGTGCGAATCATTAACAGCTGAGAGGTCGATTATCATGGCATTGATGGTATCCTCTCTGAGGGACTAATTTCATTTTTTACACCAGGAAGAGGGGCTTGCCACATCCCTGAAATACATGATTGTGAGAAAAATGGTAGTATACCATTTGTTAATTCATTTATGAGGAATTACATTTTGGATAATAAGTCAAATAGGCATGTGGCTTCTGACAAAAGAAATTGTGGAAATCAAAGTGAAACCCTGAACATGTTTTTCCACTTTGCCATTCATGTAATGGAAATGCTGAGAGCAGACTTTGAGGAAAAACAATGTTTATTTGAGGATCTCATTTTCATTATTACATAAAATTCGAAGTATCTTGAAGATTAGTAGCACGCTTACCATACTGATAGAAGAGGTACATGCTGTATCTTTCAAATCCTTATGTAAGGGAAAATGTTAATCATAGACAAGGTTATATCTTGTTTACAAGTCTGTCAGACGGACTGTGATGTGTAATAAAAGTCCATGTGTCTGAAGAAGCAGATTCTGGGCAGGCCTGCATCTGTTTGCTCTTCTGGAATCCACTAGGCAGACTTCCTAGTCAAAATCTAGTCCTGCAGTTAGCGGTAGATATTTCTATTTATCATAGTTAAACGCAGTGTATCCTATGCAGATAATCTGCCTTTCTATCAATTATTTGTGTATGTGACTATAAACAATTAAACTTAACAAAATATTTACTAAGTCTGTTTTTTAAAAAATCTATCTAAAACTTGTGAAATAGCCTGCTACTGACTTAAATGCTAACGAGTGAAAAATAATCACATCTTTTTTTTTTTTCCTGCTTGTTTAAGCAGAACTCAATTTCCAATCCTTCATTAGAAAACCGGGACCTCAATTTGTTACTTCCTTTTAGTGTTTCTGCTTCCATAAATTGCATCCTCCCAAGAGAAATTTTATTCCCGATATAAATATCTACAGTATGTTTGTTTTTAATGGGTTCATTTATTCTGTTGAAACAGCAGATTATAAATCAAATTGCAATAGGTTGGAGGAATAATTTAAGTAGGTAAATTTTCAAATAAGTTGGGGACACTCCACTTTTAATACATATGGGTCACTGCCAATTTTTTCTAGGGAGCCAGCTCCACAGTGTTCAACCGTACATATGCACAGTTTTACTGGCCATGACTGCCATGGAATTTTCCATTCCTGACAAGAAAGTTTCGATTCACCAAAAAAAGAATATTTAAAGAGGAGGAAATTAAACTTCTTTGAAATACTTTTGACTCCTTGGGGTGGTAAATAAAGGAAAATTGCGTACTGGGTTTTTATACTTTAGTATCAGAGGCAATGCTGCCTTTGGCAACATCAGACTTCTAACACATGAGTGCCTGTCACTTGGATGATGACTTTAATAAGAAGTTATTCATGGTCCAAAATAAGAGATAAATGTATTTATGTAATATTAGTAATGATATTTTATTATTAATATCAATATACATTTATTAACTTAGAAAATAATTAAAAGAACAGCCCATGAGGAAAATACATTTTAAAAACTTGCTGGTTTGTTAATTATATTTATTAGGAAGAATGCCTCATTTCCTCTTAAGTTTTATCTTAGAAACTTTATAAATAGATTTTGTGTTTGTTATCAATTATTTAACTTCAGAGGTTGCTATTCGACTAAACTTCCCTAATGAATGCAAGCGTCCTTGTGCTTATTACTCGGGATTTGTGTGCTTATTCAATGGAGTAACTGAATTACTAAAAGTAATTTACTTCTTGCAAAGTACAGAATGTAGCAAATTCACTTCTTCCAAATCTACCATATTGTGTTTGTAAAGGTCTATGGTTTTGTGGTTGCTGCAAAAAGAAATTAAACTAAACGATTGTTTTGTAAATGTAACGTCGTTTCGCAGTAAGAAACAGCAGTATGAATTTGATCCATCTGCAGAAAGTAGAGGTTGCATTATGTATTTTGTTATTATCGAGGAAAAATCAATATTCCACTAGATGGAGCAAAAGTGGCAGTAGCTTTACAGATAAACAGTGTAGGCTCCTGGGCCAGGTTTAAGAGATTTTGAAATAAATAAATAACAAACTTTCTCTGGAAAAATCAATAGATATAATCCAAATATATTTATTCATTTATAACTTCCTGAAGCTAATAAGGCTATTTAGAATGATCTCATTTGAATACTGGTTTATTTTCTGATTTATAAGCAAGATTATTAGAAACAAAAATGTCTAATTTATTTTCTTCAGTTTTGCATAATCTGGCCAAATTGGACAGTACACATAGCTCTAATGACAGTTATGAAATAATATAAATTGGCAGACGTCTGTGACCATTGGGTGCATAATTCTATTTGCCCTGAAGGTTGCTTTGAAATTTTAACACTTTGCGATGGGAGCATTACATCAAATTTCATTTGCTTGATTAATGATTAGAGCATGAGAGTATCTGAGAGCTAGATAATTTCAGCATCCATTCAGCCTAATGCTCTCATATCTTAAGAGACCCTGAGAGACAGAAAGGCTGAATGACATGTCCAGTGTTAACATTTCTACTTTTGATGATAGATACATTCACACCGAGATGACTTTGATAACTAAACAGCTTTGTAATTTTCAATCCCCAAATAATATTTATTCTAATTTATTTATTATTTTTAAATCTCAAAATCTTATAAATTAGCTTTATCTTTTTAAAATCCAGGATTAGTAGTGGAATAGCAATTTAGTACCTTACTAGATTTTACAGTAACTGAACATTGACAGGACGAATTTCTAGTATGGATAAAAAATGTTATATAAAATACATAAAGAATTAGCTATTTGGGGGGAATTTATGAAGAAAATAGGACAATGGAAGGAAAGCCTCTATATATACAGGTTATTGATTAGAGGATTATAATGTCTCCTTATATTTAGATCATTTTCTTGGTCTTGCATTCAAACTTAATGAATAAAAGGGGTCTAGGATTTGGTTATTCAAAGCCCCTGTGCTACCCAATATTCCATCTCCACATGATAAAGAAAGCTCGAGATATACATGTATATTACATATGTCTCTTCCCACAGGATGGGGCTTAGAGAGTTGAAGTTTGAATTCCAGAGTGAAGAGTCATATGCTGGGGGTGGGGGCTGGGAGTGGAGGGAGGAATTGGGAAGAGAAAGAGGAAGGAGCTTTGGTTTATGATTCAAGGTCTGGTGGGAACATTTTTGAAAATGTAGGTGCTATTTCCTGCAATCAAGGGCTTTCCAGAGCTTGATAATCATTTCCCAGCTGTATCCCTTTGCTGAATTGTTTTTAGTTGTGGGCACTCCATGGCTGTTTTTTCCCATTTATGATGGAAGAGGATCATATTCATCTTGCTGATAGAAAGCAGGGAATTTAACTCCCACAGCTTCTCCCTTCTTTCCCTTCACCTTGAGGAAAGTTTGGCTTCGTGCTAAAGTGTGAAAAAAAAAACCCTTGACTGTAGTATGTCAGGCATATTTCAGCTCGATTTGTGTCAACCCTAATAAGTAAGTTGACAGAGTAATAAATTGGGTGTCTGCTCAAAATCTGGCACCTGTACAGGAAATAAAAAAGTATTTCAATTGCAGACAGGTTCTCTTTTTTTTTTTTTTAACAAATGAAGTTTGCCAGGGACCCTCTTTCATTTATCGAAGTCTTGGTGTCTTAAATCTGATTTCAGTTGTCACTGGAACTGACAAGAAAGATAGAAACTTTAAAAAAAGGTTCTGAACTGATGAGACATCAACGAGGCAGATGATTATTTTTGCCCTGTTCAATGATGTGTCCTCCCTGCCTTGTGCTAAGCCGGGCACCTAATAGGCTCTTAATATGAGTTTACCGAATGATTGAATGGAGATCCATGAATGGATGGATCCATGAATGGATCTGCTTTGACACCGTATACTAAAGCTTATGTAAAAAGCTGTAGATTATTTCAAGTTTCTGTTCCATTTTATAAGTTTTAATTTTTCTTTCTGAGTCAGTCCTTTTAGGGTTATTGACTAGGATAATTTTCCCCTCCAGGAGACATTTGGACATTTTGTTGTCACAACTAGGGTGGAGAACTATGCTACTGGTACCAAGCAAATAGAGGCCAGGTATGCTGCTAAACATTCTACAACTCATAGGACAGACTCTCACAACAAAGAATTTTCTGGCCCAAATGGCAATAGCATCAAGGTTTAGAATCCCTGTTTTAGAGAAATTATTAGGCAGAACCATATAAAATTGATATTATTCACCGGTTTTTACCTAAAACTTGAATTCTATACGGATAACGCTCTACTAATGGGTAATAGGAAGCAATTTTAAGATTTCATAATTTGGGTAATTGTTTCCACAGGACAGACCCCTACAACAAAGAATGATCTTGTCCATTTGTCAATAATGACACTGTTGAGAAGACCTAGTCTAAATTAATAAAAGTTAGCAACCAAGCTAACATGCTTTAAAATAAAATGTGTTCTTTCCCCCTACCATGATAAATAACCTGAATAACAAACTGGAAGACAAGGTTTAAATTTCGAGTTCTTAGATTCTTAGGGTTCCAGAACAATGTGGGAGCCCCTGGCCCACGGCCTGTCCTGTCTCATGAGGGACCTCATACACATGTGTGTGGACATCCCAGACTGCTTGTCCCAGCTCTCTCTACATGTCCCAAAACAGCCGCTCTTGACCACCTTGTCGCATCCAGGAGTTTACACACCTGCACAGATCGGCCCTCTGGAGGATTGGACCAGGAAAGAGGTCCATGCAGGTGCTACAGGCAGCTCAGGGCCACTTTGAAAGGGGATTCTGGAGTATCGAGGGTGTAGCCCAGGTTGAGACAGGAGTTTTGGGTCGACAGTTACCTTGCGTCAAGGATTCACACTCAGGGGCAAAACTGTTCTTTCCAGCCATGTAATTGCTGGAGGAGGTCATCAAAAGGGTGTGACCGCTAGTTGACCCTTAAGGTGGACGCAGACAATTGGAGGAGGCTCCCTATCCCCTCCCCTGTCCTTGGAATGTACGTTCTGCCTACTCTTCTCATATTAGCAGCTATTTCAAGGACAGACCCTTGAGAGAATAAAGTGTTGTTAAGATCATCTGGACTGAATACATGATTGAACCCAGTTACGGCCTCTATATAAATTTCTAACATTCTGGTGGGCTAGTGCGGAGATCTGCTTGTCTTGTGGCACCCAAGACAAGCCTCATATGTAAGTTCCCTTCCTTATTAAAACTGTCACCTGCCAATATGGAGTGGTCTGCCTCTTTCTTGGGTCTCTCCTTGCCCTCTGTATATGGTGGCCAGTTTACGAACCAACAGTAATCTCAAATTGAAAATTGGGTTTTAAAATCTGATGATGTGTAGTCCTTTTGAAAAGTGTAGGCATTTGACATTTTTATGAGTTATTTATATTAATGCTGTTGTGAAGTTGCCTAGTGTTTTATGTTACAGATTAACTAATAACTTGAAGCATTCAAAATATGAGATAATTTTAAAGTTATTAAACATAATTGAAAGCTTATCATCACTAAGATCAAAAGTAGACTAAAATTAGAGGCCCACATCTTCAAGTAAAAGACTAAGTAATGTGATAATTCGTAGAAGCTGACCGTGTAAAGGGAAATAATATTAAAATGGTGAATTTTAATAATATACTAATTTGAGCTGCTTCTTCAACTGTTATTTAAAATTAGAATATTTACATATTTTCTCATTTATTCATGGTTTATAAATAAATCTTTATTAGGTATAATTATCAATTCATTTTACATATTAATGATAATAATGAAAGAAAAAGTCAATTCAATCAAATTTATGAAAGTGATTAAGGAATAGTGGAAAGGAAAGTGATAAGGAATGAGGATCGAGTCTGATCTTAAATTGGATCACAGAAAATTTAAAGAAAAAAATACTACACTTTATAAAACTGAAGTATACTATGTATGTTTTTGAAAGTTCTTGTAATAAGAATTTACAGAAGCTTGGCAGAATAAGTGGCAAGACATTCTGCTGTCCGGGTTTTAAAATCAATTGTTTATTTTAACTAGGTTGTGTACTTTATTTCTAGGGGAAGATTATTCTCTTATATCTTGGGAGCTGTTGTTTATATTACTACAAGAAATATTGAAATGCTATGAGAATCCAATTTGTGATCTTAAGTATAACATCTAAAAAATATTAAAAGTGTGTGTGTGTGAAAGGGAGAGGAAGGAGGGAATGGAGAGGAAGAGAGAGAATAGAGTTAGCCAGAAGCAGCTTTAATCGAAAGGCAAACTTTATGAGATTAACATGTTTTAAGGCAGCAGGAAATTTACAGTCCCCTTTTAAAAATACGCTAATTATAATTTTCTACCTTTTATACTTCCTTTAAAAAGCACCCTTATTGTACTCATTAAGATTTAGAAATGACAATCACAGAAAATAAGTCATAGTTTTGTCATTTTTATGTTGTATGGGTTCCATGAAAAGTATTTTAAGAGACATAAAACAGGAACAGCATCCTAAATTCCATGAGATTGAGAGCACAAATAGCTGGCATCCATGATGCCTATGAAACCAAAGGAAGCACCATGTGAGTCATTTGGATATCATGGAAATTGAGCCTCTTAAAAGGCATGATTGAGCAGTAAGAAACAAAGAAGGGGGAAAGAATTTTATTTTTACATATGAATATATTAATTGTTAAATATTACCTAAAATATTGTAGCATAATCTTACGTCTAAAATATGGTATAATCATTGCTTATGAATTTTATTTTCCCAGGCTGTTTTCCAGGAGCATTGAGCTGACCAGCTACGTTTATATCTGGGAGAACTACAGGCTCATCGGCTTGCCGTGGGATTCTCCATGGACCTGGTATTTAACTTTCTTAGCAGTTGACTTTGGATACTACTGGTTCCATCGCATGGCCCATGGTAAGTTGCAGACCAAGGCTTTATTGACACTTTATGTTGAACTGTGTTTGGCACATAGTAGGTATTCAGTAAATACTTATTGAATCAATGAATGAATGAGTGAATACATAGTTTATGTTACAGCATGTAAAAATTAATAGTGAAAGTTTAACTTGAAATTTAAATGGAAACAATCTGAAGTCATTTTTATTAATAAGTGAAATTATTAGAGGTCCGTTTTTCACACCTCTTGTATCTAACTGTAAAACAAAATATTTTGAAAGTGATGGCTATAGCATTACCTTTTAATATATGGTCTTACGTTGTCCTTATTACGACGTGCTTGATAGAGTCTACAGTCAACTTGCACAAAATATCAGACTTCGCATCAATTATCAAGGGTCATTGCGAAGAGCTCTGTAACAGCATGGAATCCTAGGTAATGTGTGCTGTCATACGTAAGCTTGATTCAAGTTCTTGGCAGTACTTCCACATTACAAATGAAAATGCAATCAGCTGGGCATTAGCCATAACGCACTTCAGTACTACCATAGTTTTGCAAAATTTCTCATCTAAGACAAAGCCCTTTTACTGCACTGGTTCACTGAATTTGCTTTTGGGGATTCTTGGCTGCACCTTCCAAAGAAATGTTTTTTATGGAAAGCGAAATGGAAGAGCAGGAAACAGTCTAAACCTCTGCAGGGATCAGTAGAGGTTGGAGAATGATTGTAGAGCTAAGGTGAGCAAGTGGTCTCTAAGGAGGAATAAGGCATGCAAAAGTATTTCTGAAGGGAAGTGGGGGAAAGTGCTAATTTTGAAAAACTACTCCAAAGCAGAACTCAGGATTTCAGTGGGTGGTTCTGTTGAGTGGGTGGGGAGGAAGGAAGGAAGAGGAAGAAACCTGGAATAATAATAAAAAATAGGTGGGAGATGGAAAGAAGAGACCTGAGATCAGGGTGAATAACTGAGCTATGTGTGTAGGAGTATGTGTGAGCAAATATCCTTCCCAAGCGAGGATGAAGGAAATAGGAGTAGCATAGACGAGCGTTATGCTTAAGGCAGCTAAACTTTAAATACAGCATTATTTTTGTTAAACACTTTAGACATATACATTTAATGAAACTATGAAAAGTATTAATTCCTTAAAACAATTTGAAGTGAACATATAAACTAGAAAAAGTTATTTATTTTGTCTGCGATAACCTTTGTTTTTGAAAATAATAGGTCAGCTCCTGACATCATTTCCTTGTGTATAAATGCAAGAGGATACTCCCAAATCGAACATGGTTAAGAATAAAATATGGTCATGTATTAAACTTTGTATTTTATTTCAAAATAGTAGTTTTCTCCCTAAAATAAACCCATTGGCAATCTTCCTCACTTTCTATGCAGTAAATGGATATTGCAGAAAGCATACATTGTATTACTTAATTTCTGGAACCTTCTAATATCACACTGTCCTGTACAGATGTGTTTGTTTGGGAAATCTGCAAATTCGCTTAATCTTTAAAAGCCTGTTATAACAGGAAACAAAGAACCAACAAAATATTACCAAATATTAAACTTTAAAAAATACATTGATTGTAAGTTTTCTCAGTTAGGGAAGAGCAATAAGGTAAAATAATATATTAAAACCATGGAATCAAGGCTGTTTAAAGTATGCTTCCCATTAGAAAATTTTGACCCAAATCCAGCGGAGGCAAGCACTAAAAAAATCTGAAAACCTTCTGGAAAAACACTCACCACCTTCAGGCCACGAAGCCTAATCATAAGTTCAAAGACTTTTGACTTGTGATGGAAAGCTAGTAGGAAAAAAATAAACTATGTAGTTGAATATGGCAAACTTCAATATGATACTTGATTTTTAAATTTTATGTCACAATATGTAAAATATTAAAATTGATTTTTAGCAATCTAGAAATACACAGGGATAAAAAAACATAATATCAAATTTATCGAGCCTCTTGAATTACTGAGTCCATACTGATTAATTAATTAAATTTATTCACCTGAAAAGTTTGAACAGTTCTAAAATCCAAATGTTGTCATAAAATGTAATAAGAAAGAAGCCCTCCTTTTCTTACTTACTGCGTTCCTTTCCTTTCACTACTTGCAATAAAGTAATACAAGTATATTCCCCATTTGTTAATATGCTAAATGCTGTCAGTTTTGAAGAAATAATATATTATATACTTAAATTTTTGTTTTTAAGTTTATTTGAATTACTTCCTTAGGAACCCAAATTATTGCTAGGATTTTGTTTTTGTTATTTGTTAGTTTTGCATACGTTATTTTCTCACCTTACGGGGGACAGCTTGGTATTAGTGGAAAAGAGTTTAATCTTGAAAACTTGAATTCCATCTCTATTTCTATGCAAAAGAAGAGGCATATTTGAGACTGTATGTGTTCTTTATACTTCATTCCCTTTTATTCTGAAATAATGAAAATGAAATTGCTAATTATTGTTAATTTACATAAAAACAACCCTGGTACAATGATTTCTATAGAGTACTTTGACTACTTTAGAAAAAGATGTAGAATGATAAAGAGGTCTTAAATTAAAAGTAGCTTCTGGCACGCTCAGTCTTCATTACAAAAGGATGTATTATTTTTCTTGTACTTACAATTAGTCATACTAAACATATAAGAAAATGGGTAAAGATTTTTTTTTTCACTTTTTAGCAGTTCTGCTTTGCTTTCTTCCTTTCTTTTTTTGCTTTTTTTTGGTGAGGAAGGTTGGCCCTGAGCTAACATCTGTTGCCAATCTTCCTCTTTTATTTTTCCTCCCCAAAGCCCCAGTACATAGTTGTATATCCTAGTTGTAAGTCATTCTATTTCTTCTGTGTGGGATGTCGCTACAGCATGGCTTGATGCGTAGTGTGTAGGTCCGCTTCTAGGATTTGAACCGGCAAACCCTGGGCTGCCAAAGCAGAGCATGCGAACTTAACCACTATACCATGGGGCCAGTCCTGAAAATTAGTACAGATTTTTAAGTGAACGTTTAAAATATAAATGGGTACTGCTTGGGAGGAGCAAGAATGAGCCTTCCAGGGTGCTGTTAATAGACTTTATCTTGTCTTGAGTGGGGGTTACATGACTACATATATTTGTAAAAATTTATTGAGTTGTACACTTAAATTTTGTGTACTTTACCTATACCTCAATAGAAAGTTGTTAGTAAATAATGCCACTGATATTACTTCTTGGTGACTAGTGAAGTCAGAATGATATAATAAGTCAGAAAATCTAGAAATAGGAGCAAGAAGTTATTATTTGTGACTGTAAGCATAAACATGTGAACTTACACAGCTTTTACCTGTATCAGTTTCCACAACCAAGGAGGGTGGAAGTACCAGCATCCCAATTATTAATTTTATTGTGTCTCTTCTCCAAATCCTTCTTTACTGTTTCTTGCGTTATCAGACGTGGACCTTATAGATGTTTCTCCTTTGCCAGCTGACTTGATGTTAGGCTTTGCCAGTGGAAGGATCTGGAAGGATACTACAAAGCCAGACAAGGGGAAGAGATTTTACTTCCATTTTCCAGAATGCTGTTTTCTATGTGGCACTTAGCAGATTGTTATGCAGGGAACATGGTAATGTCCACCTCGCGGCTAAGCTGTAGCCTTTACCTTCTTGTTAGAGCCTATGGGCTGCGGGGACCGTGCCAGACGACTACCTGCAACTTGTACCCTCTAGGCCCTACACACTCTAGTAAGTCTCTAGCACCAGCAGAGTTCCTATGGTAGCCACAAAAGATGGCTGTCCAAAGATGTCTGACTCTTAGACTTGGTGGAGGTGGGAGGGGCGGAGGACTCTCCTAAATTCCTAAGTACCTGCCTTGTTCACTCTCCCTCAGCTCTATAGGCAATAGCTGTGTTCTGCAGTTCCTACTTCTGTACTAGCGGACTACTCCTCGTTTACCTCTTTCAGTATTAACTACCTTTTTTACTAGTTAATTCTTTATATTAACTTTTCCTTATTCAAATTACTGGTGTGGTTTCTGTCTTCTGACTGGCTCCTGACCGCCTCCGCATGTATCACATAGGGCTGTAAATTAGAGTTCACCTGCCTGTACCTTATACTAGTCCAGTCTGATGCATTGATTACACGTTTATGCTACACCACAATTTAGTTCAGTTCTGAATTAAAGACGTTAATCTGTAAAATTATCATAAGCAATCTATAAAGTCCCCTTAAACTCTATTTTACTCAATAAGTCAACTGCATACATAACTTTCTATTCATCTCTTTCTGTATCTAAATAAGGTGAGTGATCATAATTTTTGTGTAATTAGTTACAAATATTTATTCTTACAACTTTATTGTGATTAAGTGAATTTCTGTTTGTGATTTACTAAGCTTCAACTTTTTGATTCCTTCTTTTAACAGGGGTTGAATTTAGATCATCCTAATTTCCATCTTTATTTAAACAAAGAAAATAAACTGATGCATTGATCAGAATTTATTTTGTTTTGTGATGGTGCCAGGATTGTGGTCTATATTGAAGAATAGGTTACTTACATTTGGCTACATTTGTGTTTCTCTTTTTTAAAATACCAGAATATACCTAATTTTTTTTTTTAAAGATTGGCACCTGAGCTAACAACTGTTGCCAATCTTCTTTTCTTTCTTTTCTGCTTTATCTCCCAAAATACCCTCAGTACATAGTTGTATATCTTAGTTGCAGGTCCTTCTAGTTGTGGCATGTGGGATGCTGCCTCAACATGGCCTGACTAGCAGTGCCATGTCTGTGCCCAGGATCCGAACCGGCGAAACCCTGGGCCGCCTCAGCTGAGCACGCGAACTTAACCACTCGGCCATGGGGCCGGCCCCAGAATATACCTAATTTTTTTGTAACCCTTTGCCATATATTATGCCTCACTATTTTAAAAATACAGTGTGACAGTATTCATATTGGATCACTGAGGGTAGGGTCCACCCTGTATTTGCCTGAGTTATCGCCATTCCTCTCGCTTTGTCCCATGATTTCTCACCTTCTCTCACCCCTTGGAATAGTCA